AGGCTAACATTTTCTGTTGAAATAAAGTGGAAATATTATATTAAATCAATTATTAGTTTTCCTGCTAAGAAAATCGGATCACTGTGTTATTCTAGACAGTTTTTCTGACTCAAATCTGTCTTACATACTTATAAGTTTACCATTCATCCATGTTTTGAATATTTCCGCCACATCTGGTCTAGTGCTCCTACTTTTTATTAGAGAGATCCTTGAAAAAAGCCAAAGAAGAATTTCGTAGAATTGCTTGAAAATGAAAGTTGCATGATTTTTCAAATCTAATTTACTCACTCACTTCAGGCTAGAAGGACTTTTTCTTACTGAAGTATTTTATTAGATATTTAATAATAATAATAATAATAATAATAATAATAAAATTAATAAGGAAATTAACTCATTAGGAATAAATTTTCCTTAAAATTTTAGTTCTTTTTCTCATCTACCTTGCTGACACATCTTAATCTTCCAATCTTTACCTCTCGGTAACCCTCTTCCATGTAGTGGATTTATTGCCTTGCTTGGGTTAAAAGGATTTTAAAAAATCTAGGTTAGCAAAATTGAACCGAAAAACTAGAATCATAGTCTTCAATATTCTCGTCATATCTTGACTTACACATAGATGTCATACATGGCATCCAACTCATTAAGCTATCAGCTAAATAAAACTTTTTTATCACATCAGTGATTAAAAATGGCTAAAAGCAAATCATCCTCTAGGTTTTAAGATAACCTTTCAACACATATTACAAAACTGGCAATACAGAATAACTAAAAGAAATTTATGAAATGACAGCAGATCTAAAACAAACTACAGTCTGTTGTTAACTGGAGCAAGCAATGGCTTGTTCATTTTTAACACCTCCAAAAAGAAACTGCTGTCTATTAATCCTATGTGAGAACATTTACAGATTTCAATCAGCATGGCTGATGCTAAACTACTGGAGTGACTTCTCAGACTAACAATTTCCACTGACATAAAGTGGATATATTATATTGAAGCAATTATTAGGTTTCCTGCTAAGAAAATCAGTTCACTGTGTCAGTCTAGACAATTTTTCTTACTTATAAGTTTACCATTAAGTTCTGATGCTCCTACTTTTTATTAGAGAGATCCTTGAAAAAAGACAAAGAAGAATTTCAAAGAATCGCTTGGAAAGTGAAGATTACATGACTTTTTCAAATCTATTTATTCGCTCGCTTCAGGGCAGAAGTATTTTGTTAGATATTTAATAATAATAACAATGAAATTAACTTGTTAGGGATAAAATTTCCTTAAAATTTTAGTTCTTTTGCTGGCTTAGGGTAATCTTAGGGTTGTTGAATTTTAGTTAAGCTCCTCTCTAGAATAAATTTAAAAAAATGGGCAGCATGCCTAGTTTTTTTTTTTATCCCATGACTCGTAGAGTCGTAGGGGCACCATGTGTACTACATTCGCAGTAGAAGTGGTGTTTCTTGGCCAAGATAGCCGGACAGAGTCTAACCCCTTCCAGGCCAGTTTTGAATTCAGTGTTTTTACTTCTCCTAGACCTGTTGTCACCCAAGGTGATAGAACACAGTCTGTCCTGCTAATTACTCATATTTGAGGGGAGAAGAAAAGGATTCATACCTTTCCCAAGGGTATTAGCACATAAGTGAAGGTAATAGATCCAACTGGAATTTGAACTTGCTCTCCGATTCCGAGTAGTATTCCGATTCAAAGTATTACGAAATTTTCTAATTATTAAATGAAGTGGTCAACCCACAATTTTAACCTTTAGTATACATTGACTATAATAGTAAATGAATATTTGAATATAGTACATATATTATTTCCATATACAGATGGTGTAGTGGTTACAGGCTCAGAACAGCATATCTACAAGCCGGATTTGATTTCCAGTTTGGTGTATTTGTTTATCTCGCAAGATAAAGATAGAGCACTGTTTGGTCAAAATTGAGTCCTTTGGTTGTCAAATTGGAGTGAACTCTACAGGCCTGGGCAATGATATATAGAGGCTGTGTTCTGTTGATAATACATGGCCCCTCCTCCTGGCCATACCAATAAAATCAAAAGGGATGCAGGATATTACATTTGGGGACAGCTTGACTGCAAATCCTGGAAAGTTGTCAGGGCTCCACTCTGGGGGTTTTGTCTGGATTTAATTCAATAGACTTTCCTGTGTTTGGATATGACGGCAAGAAAGTGAAGGTTTCCAATCAGGATTTTCCTTTCCCTAGATGGACAGCCTTCACCAGGCTGTCGAACTTCATCTACCCAAATCAGTTGGTTATGAGGTGCCAGTTTTACCGACTGGGAGGTGGACTAACTTGTTTCACAATACCATTAGGAAAAGTATGAATACATCTGTTTTCACCAGAAGTTAAATCACAAGGCAAACTGTAGATTCTAGCTGTAGCTTTGCCACTAGCCTAAGAGAAGGATAACGTGTAATGCAAAACTATATGCAGCCCAGGCAAAAAACATACTATGCAGCTAAGGAAAGGGTTTTGGAGTTTACAATGACTCGAGGATCTTGATTGCAGTAGATGTTAATGGAATGTATAAATTGATAAATAAAGTAATTAAATATATGTAATGATGTTGGAGTTGAGGTCCTTTTTTCTTGCACATTTTGATGCCTTTTTAGCAAAAACTTTTTTTTCTTTTTGAAACATCAAGGATTATGCAAACAATCTCATCTAAAATATTCAAAGGTATTAATTAAATAAATAATTATATTCATTAAATCTTATACAGGATATCCCAATTATCTCATTAATGTGATAATTGAGGTAGCCTATGTATAATTTAATGAATATAATTATTTATTTAATTAATAGTTTTATAGTATAATGATTATTTGAGCTAAGTATTGTTGTATGTAAAAAGAAGTTCAGAAACTGATGAACATTTTAATTTTCCCTTTTACATTTTCTAACCAGTAGGGACACTTGTAGTGAAAGCTAATGAGAAGCGCTTTCTCAGCAAAAGGCACAACCAAAATGACTGAAGAATTTCAGCTACAATGTTCTTTGTTTCAGCCTTATTTGGGGATGGAAGTTTTTATCACACACCATTTCTAGAATGGTTGCCAATCAAGACAACAGAACAAAGATTGTCTATATCTGTGGAGAAAAGAGGTGGATTCATAGCTTTCCTAATGGTATTTAAGCATAAATTATTTTAACGAACCTGACTGGAATTTGAACTCGGCTCTACGATTTCACATTTCAAGCCGCTAGCCATTACATTAAACTTTCCATCCAAACAAAGCGCTCACCAAATACAAGCACAGCAAAACAGCTTTTCAACTGGTAATTTTATCATCAATATTTTATCCAATAAAATTACGCATAATATGTTACAATAATATTTGTTATCCAATTAACATTTTAAGTAATAAATTGTTCCCAGAAAAATGTAGCCTTTGTTTGATTCATCAAAGTGTTATAAATAGCCAAAATAATCAGAATAAATCATTTGTTGGTCAGTTTTCATTCAAAATGGCATCACATAAATTTCTTTACCAACGGATTTACTCATCGTATCTTTTGATTTCGTCTACTTTAAATCAATTTCTACTGATATGTTGCTGAACGACAGATTTCCTCAAAACTTCATATATTACCTCTTTTCTCACACAAGTCACACAAATGATAAACAAGGAGTTTAACTGGTGTACACATAACTGTAAACTATCTATATTTATCTTTTGTTGTACCTCATTAATGAACATACTTTTAACGATTTCTTATATATATATATTATATATATATATATATATATATATATATATATAAGTAAGAAATCTGTGGGTAAATAATCCAAATGAATCCCAATAATAAAAATATTGAAACTGATCCACAAAGAGAGCTCAATATATTTCTTATAAAGTATATATAGATAATTTACATTTTATGAAACTCAATACCCCATATAGGATATTGAGGTTATTGAGTATCTATTTTGTATCTATCTATCTATATCTATCTACACACACACGTACACACATATATATATATATATATATACATATATATATATATATATATATATATATATGTGTGTGTGTGTGTGTGTGTATCTATCTGTATTTGGCCCTTTAAACGTGTGGATTGTTCTGCACAAAACCTTCACCACTATAATTAAATTTCATGTACTGGTATTGGGCTGTCAGTTGACAGGGAACTAATCTATATTGACCTATATATTATATATATATATATATATCACATAAAAAGTTTAGTTGAATCAGATCAGGGAATAGTAGTATTAAAAAGTGCTCAATACACGTGGGAAAAAAATAATTAAAAATAACATGAAGAGCTATATATATATATATATATATATATATATATATATATATGTAGCAAATTGTTAAACTAATAGCAAATACACGAGAAAAAGCTAAGCAGAAGATAGAAAAATGAGATAGACTAGTAAGACAGAGAATAGCACAATCATCGACTTAGTGGATATAGCTTGTAAAGGCCATTGCGTAGTAATGGACTCTTATTGGCTGCTGCTGAAGATATATGTATTCATATATATATATATATATATATATATATATATATATATATAGATAGATATATATATATATATATATATATAGATATCTATAGGGAAGTGAGAGAGGATAAATAGATAGATAGGTGTGACTGTGCATGCTTGTACATGTGTTCTGTTGGTGCTTATATGTTTATTTTTCCTCTATGTGTATAGGAATAGTAAAAATGATATATTTGATTCAATCAGCTGGGCGATCACGTAGCAGCCCACCTGAACTTTTCTGGAAAGCTCATTCTTCAACCTAATTCAATAAAGATTCGAATGTCAGCCATGAATTCACAAGACCTCTGGTGCCTGCAAAATTAGTAGCCATTTACGCAGAATTATCATCTGCGGCAGGAAAAAAAAAACAGTGTGTTATTAGCAATGGTTTTGTGCTGTTATGAGTTTTTTTAATCATTATTTTCTTTTTTATTGTCTTCTTTGTTGTCTATTTGTGATTTTAATTATCATGACTGTTACTTCTTTTTTATTTTCTATTCCCTTTGTATTGCTTTTTTTTTCTTATCTTTTTGATTGTTTTCTTTTTTTCTATCTTTCTTTATCTGTTTTACATTCACACTTTTTTTTCTTTCTCTTCTTTTTCCTTTCTCATTTTTCTGTTATTTGTCTACTTTCCATTTTTTGTGTTCTTCATATGGCTTATTTCCTTCTTTATTTTTATTATTTTTTGTTTGGCTTTCTCTTTCATCTTGTCCTTCATTTTCTTTTTCTTTATCTTTTCTCCTTTTTATTTCTTTGTCTTCTTCATCTCCCTCTTATTTTATCTTATATTTTCTTTTTCTCTATCTTTTTCTCCTTCTTATTTCTTTGTTGTCTTCTTCCCCTTGTATTTCATCTTTTTCATTTTCTTTATCTTTTTCTCCTTCTTATTTCTTTGTCCTCTTTTTCTTCCTCTTGTATTTTATTTTCTTTTTCTTTATCTTTCCTTCTTTTTTCTGTCTTTTTCTTCTTCCTCTTGTATTTCATTTTCTTTTTCTTTATCTTTTCTCTTTATTATTTCTTTGTATTCTTCTTCCTATTGTATTTCATCTTTTTTATTTTCTTTATCACTTTCTCCTTTTTATTTTTTAATTTTCTTCTTTTTCCTCTTTTATTTCATCTTCTTTTTTTTCTTTATCTTTTCTCCTTTTTTTGTCTTTTTCTTCTTCCTCTTGTATTTTATTTTCTTTTTCTTTATATTTTTCTACTTCTCTTTCATCTTTTTCTTCTCCTTTCTCTTGCATTTCATCATTTTTCCTTTTCTTTATCATTTTCTGATCCTTCTTTATTTTCTTCTTCATCTTTCATTTTCTTTTGCTTTTTTTCATTTTGTTCTTCTTTTTCTTTTTTTCTCTTTTATATATATATAGTTCTTTATCCACTTTTCCTTCATCTAATTCATCTTTTTCCTCACTTCTTTACTCATTTTTTTTACTTTTCCAGCTTGTTATTCATTGTTTCCTTCTTTTTAATAATTTTTTTTCTTTTTTTTTCATCTTGTTCATTTTTTTTCATCTTCTGCTTCTTCAACTGTTTTTTCCTTTATACTACTGCATCTTATTTATTTTCTTTTTCACCATCTTATTCTAGTTCATTCTTCTTCTTCTTCTTCTTCTTTTCCTCCTCCTTCCCCTTTTTTTACAGAAACCATTTTCTTGTTCCTTGATATCATTCAATTTTTATCCTTAGTCATCCATTCTTTCTTTCCTTTTCTACTTTTTAACTATAATTCTTTTATTTATTTATTTTTTTCCCTTTTTATTCAGTTTTTTCTACTTTAATTCATTCTTTAAACCTTTTTCCAGCACTTCTTTTACTTTTTCAAATAAGAAATTTTCTTTCACCTCTTTTTTTCTTTTTGCTTTTCTTCAGTTGCTTTCATTCTTAACTTTCTTTACATCTTCATTATCTTTTTTTCATTTTCTTTCCTTCTTTTGATCCTTTTAAATTTTCATTCCTTGCCTTTTTTATAATCTCTAACTCTGTCTTCATCTTTCCTTCTCAAATTTTATTTCTACTTTTTCTCTCCTAATAATTCTTCCCTTTCCTTGTTTTATTTCCACTTGATAGTTTTTCTCCTACCTTTTTCATTTTATTTTTTGTTTCTTTTTGTCTTTTAATTTTTTTATTTTTACTGCCTCTTCCTTCCTCTTGAATTTCTTTTCCTTCCTGAAAATAGGAACCAATTCCAAAGCTAAATGAAAAATGTCATGTAGACATGGAACCATAAGTTTTCTATTCTGTTTTTGTTTTCATTTCTTGAACTAGTCTTAAAGTAAACATTCCATTCTATTTCCTTTCTTGACATTTGCCTCAATGCAATTTCTCACAACACTGAAGGAAATAGTTCTGGAGCCTATCCAAGAGAAAATGCTTATTAGAAGTAAGGTTCAGACTATTAAAGTTAATTCCTTTTTCATTTCAAAAAAAAGCAATGACACCAGGCCCCACAATTAATAAGTGGAATATATTCAGTGTCTTCACTGATATAACACTTATTGATGATATGTAATGAGAGACATGCAGGGAAACAAGTCACAAGACTTAACTACACATGAATCAATAAATAGTTATAAAAGAAAAAATTAGACATGGTTGGTGGTAAAATATTTTTAGTGGACATTTTGCCTTCTCATATAGTTGGTGGGGTTTAGAGAAATTGGCTTCCTTATTTTTATTGCAGGTGCTATTTCATTCATTGTTAAAAAAAGACTATCCTACATCAGTTAGTTATGTGGTGGCAAACCCTATCAGTGGAAGTAACCCCATTTCAGCATTTAGCCATATATTTAAAAAGAAAATAAATGGATTATGAATTCTGGGGACCTGAGAAGCTAGTTGTTATCTTTTATGTGGAGACATCATCACAACAGGATACAAAAACCCAGCACTTCCAGCATAGAGGCAACATGGTATAGGCAGTACACCTCACACACTTGCTGATTCACCAGCAGAGTAAATTCAATTTTTCTTTCATTATTTATAGTACAAATGAAGAAAATATTTGCAAAAACAATTTTTTACTGTTTTTCTTTTTTCTTTAGTTTCTGTTTCGTCTTGACCTTCATCTTCGCTTTTTCTTATTCTTTATCTTTTTCTACTTCTCTTTCTTCATTTTCTTCTTTTTCCACTTGTATTTCATCTTCTTTTTTCCTTTTCTTTATCTTTTTCTACCTCTTTTTCTTCATTTTCTTCTTCTTCCACTTGTATTTCATCTTCTTTTTTCCTTTTCTCTATCTTTTTCTACTTCTCTTTCTTCATTTTCTTCTTTTTCCACTTCTATTTCATCTTCTTTTTTCCTTTTCTTTATCTTTTTCTACCTCTTTTTCTTCATTTTCTTCTTCTTCCACTTGTATTTCATCTTCTTTTTTCCTTTTCTCTATCTCTTTCTACTTCTTTTTCTACATTTTCTTCTTCTTTCATGTGTATTTCATCTTCTTTTTTCCTTTTCTTTATCTTTTTCTACTTCTTTTTCTTCATTTTCTTCTTTTTCCACTTGTATTTCATCTTCTTTTTTTCCTTTTCTTTATCTCTTTCTACTTCTTTTTCTTCATTTTCTTCTTTTTCCACTTGTATTTCATCTTCTTTTTTTCCTTTTCTTTATCTCTTTCTACTTCTTTTTCTTCATTTTCTTCTTTTTCCACTTGTATTTCATCTTCTTTTTTCCTTTTCTTTATCTCTTTCTACTTCTTTTTCTTCATTTTCTTCTTTTTCCACTTGTATTTCATCTTCTTTATTCCTTTTTCTATCTCTTTCTTTCTACTTCATTTTTCTTCTTTGTGTATTTCATCTTCTTTTTCCTTTTCTTTATCTTTTTTGTACTTCTCTGTCTTCATTTTCTTCTTTTTTCACTTTATTTTCTTCTTTTTTCCTTTTCTTTATCTTTTCTACTTCTCTTTTTCTTCTTTTTTCCACTTGTATTCCATCTTCTTTTTTCCTTTTCTTTTTCTTTTTTACTTCTTTTTTTCATTTACTTCTTTTTCCTTGTATTTCATCTTCTTTTTTTCCTTTTCTTTATCTCTTTCTCTTCTTTCTTCATTTTCCTTGTATTTCATCTTCTTTTTTCCTTTTCTTTATCTCTTCTCTTTCTTCATTTTCTTCTTTTCTATTTCATCTTCTTTTTTTCTTTTCTTTATCTCTTTCTACCTCTGTTTCTTCATTTTCTTCTTTTTTCCACTTTTCTTTATCTTCTTTTTTTTTCTTTTCTTTTCTACTTCTTTTTTCTTCATTTTTCTTTTTCCCCTTGTATTTCATCTTCTTTTTTCCTTTTCCTTTTCTTTTTATTCTCTTTCTTCATTTTTTTTTTCACTTGTATTCCATCTTCTTTTTTCTTTTTTTTATCTTTTTTGTACTTCTCTTTCTTCATTTTCTTCTTTTTTCTACTTCTATTTCATCTTCTTTTTTTTTTTCTTTATCTCTTTCTACTCTTTTCTTCATTTTCTTCTTCTTTTATTTCATCTTCTTTTTTTCCTTTTCTCTATCTTTTATTTTCTCTTTCTTCATTTTCTTCTTTTCCCTTCTATTTTCTTCTTTTTTCCTTTTCTTTATCTTTTTTCTACCTCTTTTTTCTTCATTTTTCTTCTTCCCTTGTATATCATCTTCTTTATTCCTTTTCTCTTCATCTTCTTTTCTACATTTTCTTCTTCTTTCTTGTATTTCATCTTCTTTTTCCTTTTCTTTATCTTTTCTTTTTCTTTTTCTTCTTTTTCTTCTTTTCCCTTGTATTTCATCTTCTTTTTTTCCTTTTCTTTATCTTTTTTCTACTTCTCTTTCTTCATTTTCTTCTTTCCCCTTTTATTTCATCTTCTTTTCTTTTCTCTATCTCTTTCTTCTTTTTTCTTCATTTTCTTCTTTTTCCACTTGTATTTCATCTTCTTTTTTTCCTTTTCTTTATCTTTTTCTACTTCTCTTTCTTCATTTTCTTCTTTTTCCACTTGTATTCCATCTTCTTTTTTTCCTTTTCTTTATCTTTTTCTACTTCTCTTTCTTCATTTTCTTCTTTTTCCACTTCTATTTCATCTTCTTTTTTTCCTTTTCTTTATCTTTTTCTACCACTTTCTCTTTTTTCTTCTTTTTTCTTGTATTTCATCTTCTTTTTAATTTTCTTTATCTTTTTCTACCTCTTTTTCTTCATTTTCTTCTTCTTCCACTTGTATTTCATCTTCTTTTTTCCTTTTCTCTATCTTTTTCTACTTCTCTTTCTTCATTTTCTTCTTTTTCCACTTCTATTTCATCTTCTTTTTTCCTTTTCTTTATCTTTTTCTACCTCTTTTTCTTCATTTTCTTCTTCTTCCACTTGTATTTCATCTTCTTTTTTCCTTTTCTCTATCTCTTTTCTTCTTTTTTTCATGTGTATTTCATCTTTTCTATGTGTCTTTTACTTCTTTTTTTGTCATTTTCTTCTTTTTCATCTTCTTTTTTTTTCTTTTCTTCATTTTTTCTTTTTCCACTTGTATTTCATCTTCTTTTTTTTTCTTTATCTCTTTCTACTTCTTTTTCTTATTTTCTTCTTTTTTCTTGTATTTCATCTTCTTTTTTTCATTTTTCTTTATCTCTTTCTACATTTTTTTCTTTTTTCTTTTTCCACTTGTATTTAATCTTCTTTTTCTTTTTCTTTTTATCTCATGTTTTTCTTCATTTTCTTCTTTTTTCCACTTGTATTTCATCTTCTTTTTTTTTTCCTTTCTTTCTTCTTTCTTCTTTTTCCACTTTATTTCATTTCTTTTTTTCTTTTCTTTTCTTTTCTACTTCTTTTCATCATTTTCTTCTTTTCCCTTTATTTCATCTTCTTTTTTCTTTTCTTTATCTTTTCTTCTTTCTTCATTTCTTCTTTTTCCACTTGTATTTCATCTTCTTTTTCCTTTTCTTTATCTCTTTTACTTCTTTTTCTTCATTTTTTTTTTCTTGTATTTTCTTCTTTTTTCCTTTTCTTTATCTCTTTCTACTTCTTTTTTTTCATTTTCTTCTTTTTCCCTTGTTTTCATTTCTTTTTTTCTTTTCTTTATCTCTTTCTACTTCTTTTTTCTTCATTTCTTCTTTTTCCACTTGTATTTCATCTTCTTTTTTTCCTTTTTTTATTCTTATCTTTTTCTTCATTTTTTCTTTTTTCATTTTCTTCTTCTTTTCCTTTTCTTTTCTCTTTCTACTTCTTTTTCTTTTTCTTCTTTTTCCACTTGTATTTCATCTTTTTTTTTCTTTTTTTTCTCTTTTCTTTTTTCTTTCTTCCTTCTTTTTTTTTCTTCTTTTTCCACTTGTATTTCATCTTCTTTTTCCTTTTCTTTATCTTTTTCTACTTCTTTTCTTCATTTTCTTCTTTTTCCCTTGTATTTCATCTTCTTTTTTCCTTTTCTTTATCTTTTCTACTTCTCTTTCTTCATTTCTTCTTTTTCTATTTCATCTCTTTTTTTTCCTTTTCTTTCTTCTTTTTCTTCTCTTTCTTCATTTTCTTCTTTTTCCCTTGTATTTCATCTTCTTTTTTCCTTTTCTTTATCTTTTTCTACTCTTTCTTCATTTTCTCCTTTTTCTTGTATTTCATCTTCTTTTCCTTTTCTTCTTTTCTACTTCTTTTCTTCATTTTCTTCTTCTTTTCTTGTATTTCATCTTTTTTTCCTTTTTTATCTTTTTATTTCTTTCTTCATTTCTTCTTTTTTCACTTCTATTTCATCTTCTTTTTCCTTTTCTCTATCTTTTTCTACCTCTTTTCTTCATTTCTTCTTTTTCCACTTGTATTTCATCTTCTTTTTTCCTTTCTTTATCTTTTTACTTCTTTTTTTCATTTTCTTCTTTTTCCACTTGTATTTCATCTTCTTTTTCCTTTTCTTTATCTCTTTCTATTTCTTTTCTTACTTGTATTCATCTTCTTTTTTTCCTTTTCTTTTTCTTCTTTTTCTTCATTTTCTTCTTTTTCCACTTGTATTTCATCTTCTTTTTTTCCTTTT